AACCTGTTATCTATCGTAAATAGAGCACATTTGACAATGTTGTAGTGTGACTTTTTTGGCCTCACATTTTTGATATTTGCAATTAGAGCTTTTGGGGCTCTGTCAAACAAAGCTACATACGAAATATTGGTTATAAATTGCAAAATATGATCATGTTGTTGGAATAACTTGGCATTTTACCACCCGTATATCATTCATTGTTGAGAATAATAATAAAATCATAAAATTTAAAATTCCGTTTTTGTGAAATTTTTGTTGTAGCTGAATTCCAGGGACAGCATGACAACAGGCAAAAGAAGCACGGTCGCCTCTTTTAGTTTATGACAGGGTTTCTTAAAAGGGGACCCCGTCCTCCTTGGAGGCCGCTGATCGGTTATTTGGGAGCACGAACAAACAGATGGAAATGGGAATATATAATAACAATGTATTTTTATAGAAGAGAAGAAGCAAAAGTGTTTAGAGTCTTTGGTAGTTTGAAAAGCATTGGCATGGAACATAAGAATGAACTACATTCTTTCCCAGGGATATACTATAAAATGTAGCAATTTCCTCATGCTTGTTTTAGTGATATCATTATCTTTCACTGCGTCGTCGTGATCATCCCGCTGCATAACAATTCTCGCTAACAAATAATTGACTGTTCTCCACCGGGTGTATATCCACTTGAACCACTGGCGACTGCATTAGCAGGCTTGTATTGTTAATTGCAACAAAAACGGGTATTTTGAAATAGTACTCTTTATTTTACGCGTATGTTTCGACAGTATTTCTATATATATACTGTATATGGGTCGCGACCCAAACTGGGCTCAACAAATACCTAAAAGTTATTGATTTTATTTCCTAGTAAATTTGGTGCTTGCGTAGTTTGTGCACCAAGATTGCGCACAACCTGAACATAGTATTGTAACAGGTTATGATTCAGGTTGTGCGTCATTATGATGCACATGTTTGACAAAAAACACTAATACAAATTAGGCTTGCACGTAATTGACAAAAATCAATTCCGTAATTACGGCCAAATCGATTACGTAATGACCCCGTAATTGCGATATTTTTTTTCACACTTTTAAACCTATCATAACAACCAATTTAATCCACTTCTATTCCGAATGGGACATCGACAGTTGAGACAGTTTGGTTTTCATATTTCCGCCAGTACTACACGCCGGCGACAGATGCTAAATACAAATATCAAGGAGTGAATTCAAATTAATTTTATTCTGATTTTTATCTTTTGTGTTAGCTTTGATTTTCCTTTATCAACCTTATCACCCAATTTTATGCGATCAATTTCATCATTACCAACACTGGTAAGTGGTAATATATTTATGAAACGATAGTTGACTTTTTTAAAATCGTATTAACGTATTAATACGAGTTTCGTATTAAATAAAAATTCCGGGTTTCTAATTTATAAATCAACGACGAGCGTATTCTCTCGTTTGATTATACTTGCGCTTGCCTCGCGACGAAGACTTGTTATTGTACCGTTTTTTTACATTATCCGACTTTACTACCTAGTTAGCATTTTATAATAATTATCGATGCCGACTTATTGACGATATTCCGATTACCATGCTTCATTTTACATTAAATCATTCCGCGGCCTAACTGTTATAACATTATTTGCGATAAATTTAGATCAAATATTAATTATTTGCGCATAATTTAAATACCGTACTTATATAACATGCCTTCTCCGAAAATACAAAGTTATATCGCAAAACAATGCATTTTGTGACATTTATTTTGCACTCACGAAAACATTAATTTACTTTTCTAACTCAAGTCGACAATCCTATCGGCTAAGATTGACACAAGTTTGGTCGAGTGCTGGTGGTATTTGAGTCGACGATAAATCAAAATAAGTTGCCGCATTTGGTAAAGACTTAAAGATTTTGTAAAGACATATTTGGCCGAAATAGTGCGAGGCATTGTGAAAACAAGGCCAAGTCCGGACAGATATATAACGATAAAACCGGTAACAGAGTATCAAGATTTTGTAATAGAAAATGGATCTCGCGCAGAATAAACATGGGAAATCCCGTCTTTTTGTTGTTTCTCTGCCGTCTGAATCGCTTTACCGATGCCGAAAAGACTAAGTTGCGTTGGTTCATTACGCAATTTCTCTTCCGTCGTCATATTGCTGTTTGATAAGCGCGACATTAATTATCACGGCATTTACAAATAGACCATGTTTGGTAAGTTGATCTCTCACATTCTTTAGTCATTTCACCCGAAGAAGTTGAAACCAGGTGTGTTGGCGTCCATCGGTCTCAACACAATTCTATCCCATATCTACGCTTAATATGTACATTTGCCATGCTAGATAAGTTGATAATAGGTTAGTAAATGGCAACGCGTTATGCCTTCTCCATCTGCGTAACAAGAGAGAGAAAAACGGCTGCGAATACCGGAACTCCAACTTCTTCTACTTATTAAACTTTAATTTTTTACAATCGACGGAATTGACTGCTCTGAAGAGAGCTCGTTTCAATCGCGAAAGCGCTCCACCAATAATTACGAATTTACGTAATTCGTAACTTCGCTTCCGTAACTCGAAATAATTCCGTAAATCCGTAAATTACGTGCAAGCCTAATACAAATATCTCAGTAAATACCTAAAAATTATTGATTTTATTTCCTAGTAAATTTGGTGCTTGCGTAGTTTGTGCACCAAGATTGCGCACAACCTGAACATAGTGTTGTAACAGGTTATGGTTCAGGTTGTTCGTCATTATGATGAACAGGTTTGACGAAAAACACTAATACAAATATCGAGCCGTAAAAAAAATTGCTCAAGGCTGCAAACTCCACACCCATGTAGAAATGATGGACAATGACCCCAAGATGAATAATCACGAATAAAAAAAACTTTATGTCTGAAATCAAACTTGGGCCAAGAAGGGCCCCTTATCTGCCGGACTAAGTGTCATGACTGGCTGTACGTTTTGATTCTGCAAAATTCTTGCTACTGGAAATTCAGAACTTTTTTGAGGGTACCGGTAGCGTCAAAGGTACCGGTAAGGACTGATTCGCTCTGGTCTAACGTGTCCATATATTTGTGCGTAGCTCTCTTGTTTTATGTGAGATGTTTTACATGTGCCTTTCTTACGCATAATGAGTGTCCAGCACTGCATTTCATTACGCAAATATATATATGTTATTATTTTATGTTTTACCCATTTCAATTTTTTGCCGGCACATTATTTGATAGCTATTCTTCGTGTGGACTGTTTTCAAGTGTACCTTTTTCGTTAGAAGCATATTGAGTGCCCGACATTGCTTTATATTACGCAAATATATTTTGTTCTGTTCTGTTCCGGACATTTCAATTTTTCACCGGTCCGCCAGGGTAGATAGGTGGGGAACCACTGCTGTAAACGTTTTGATACTACTTCGTTTGGCTTCCGTGTCCGTATATTTGAGCATTGCTACCTCATTATTTATCGGTTGCCAAAGTTAATGAATAAGATATGTTATCCGATACGAACCGAAAATATTTTTCTAAAATTCTTGATATCTACTCAAAATCATTCGTTGCCCATTCATCGAGCAAGGAATAATTGTACTTTGCGTGAGATTACCTCACTGCTTATTGAGGATATATAGCATGACTCTCTTCCAACTTAGACACCGTGACTGCGATGTTTCAAATGTCCACAGGGGTTATTATTAGTGTTATTTTAATGGTGCTAAAAACTGGCTTAGTTTTGTGCACCAGGACTGTGATATTAAGCGTTGGAAGTTCAAATGCTTCGACCCGCTACGAGGACGTATTCTATAACAAAGGAAATAATTCTGGGATTTATTAGCAAATTGATAATATTCACGGGGACTATATTAGTTCTTTGCAATGATTAAGTAAAATTGATCTTGGGAAGTCATAACTGGGACAATGTAATATTAAGTGTTCGACGGTTTCGTTTTCCCTGCAGGTGTCGCAAAGTCCATTGTCGTGAATTCCAATTTTATGAAGATGAAAGTTCAACGACAGTGGACTGTTTGTAGTCTGAACAATATTATTTCTTGTCTTCTAGATAATTTGCAAGAATTTTGTTCTTTAACCGAAGGGAAGAATGCTTTGATATGTTGTGTTTGTTGTAGTGTGATAAATAGTTATTCCATTCCAGGTTGCACTTTGCATTAATACTGTCCAAAGCAATGCTCTGTACACGGCATAAAGTTCAGTTGTGAACGAACTTAATTTTTTGTCAAGTGTAAAAGTTTTGGAGACGTCATACTTTAAAATACAAAATGATAAACCACATCTTGTATCCGTCTTTGATCCATCCGTATAAATCCATAAGTGTTGACTGTAATTCTCAGTAATATATTCATCACATACAAGTTTACTTATAGGAATAGGAGATCTGTTTTCGAAATAATATTCGCGAGGGACACATTAATATTTGAAAGTTCCATTTCCCAAGGAGGTGACTGAAGAGGGGTCCACGATTAACCGAAATTTGCTTGAAAACATCCGATGTGGTTAGCATGTTGAAGGTTTAAAACAATGGTGACTTCGGGTAAAGCTTGTGCCATGTTTGTTCTATTATATTGGTATTGGGATATTGCGTAATCGATAAAATTTTGCTCTTATATCTCATGCAAGCCTGTCGGTGACGAAATTTCAGCAGAATCTCTCTACAGGTAACATTTAGGCAGCATATCGGTGTGCTGGGCAAAGCGCCACAGCAAATACGAAGAAATTTATTTTGTAACAGGGATATATTCCTAATTACATACTTTGGTGCAAAATAATAAGCTTCTATTCTGTATTCAATTATTGAACGTATTAACCCTGTAAAGTTTAAGCAAAGTTTCTCTGGAGCTCCCCATGCTGTGCCTGTCAAACATGTATACATTAACAAAGGCAACACCTAATGATTTTATTCACGTAAGTGTAATGTAGGCTAGTTGAATCAGTCTTATCTGCAAATGGAGTATCCTTGAAATATATACAGTGTCCAAGATCTAATTATATAACCAACATACATATTTATTTCAATTTTATTTTCGACAAAAGCCTGCAACATTGTGAATTGAAAAATACATTTTTATATAAAAGTATAGTAAGAAGAATTGAATATTATATTACAAAAATATTGGGAACATATTTGAGAATGAGAAAAGAAAAACAGAACAAAATTGGGCTGTAGTCTCAACTTGTAATCCAAATCCAGACAGGGAAATGATATGGTAAAAGTGTGTTGAATCTTAGTCCCGTGCGGATTCACATTTCATAAATAACGCTCATGCGCTGTTGTTGGTTTCAAGTCTGCCGGCTATAAAAATGCTGAGTAAAAGGGAATAATAACTATAGCTGGCAATGAGAACGCGGCAGTGGTAAATCTATATAATATTTCACCCCTTCCCTGCTTGAATATCTTACAAAATAGAACAATGAAAATTGCATAAAATCGAAAAGCTGTAGTAAGGCAATATTGGTGGATGGAAGAGGAAAAATAAAGAAGAAAACAAAAACAAATGAAGACAATAGTTAGGGTTCAAGAGCATGCTATGCAGATTTGTCGTTTAATGCTATAAGCTACGTTCTAATTATGGTTTCCTGGCCTACTGGCGGCCAACTTGAATCAAGCTTCAAGTCTGTTTGTAATTTGAGATAGTGTATATCTTCAACTTGGTCTTCATTCACTCTGTTATTTCTGGGACGTGATTTTGTGATACATTTCCGAAAGATTTTCTTCAGCAATCGATTGAAATATTCAGATTCAAGGAGAAATTTCTTTAAAAATAAATTCGCGTAAAAATAACCTCTGCGAATGAAAATGAATAAATCAATTTCTCCAAGTTCTGAATGAGCAAAGCTGATATGTACGGTGCTGCTTTGTAAAAACAGGTATTTTCATGGTTTAAAATGGCATATCCTGTTTAATACATCCGGTAGTATTCGATGAGACCCCCTCTAAAACCGACCAAAACTCCACAGAGCGATACCGAAAACGAGGTAGCACAGAAGCATTTGGGCTGAGAGCATAAATTTCAACTTTAAAAAGAACCTGTTTATATTTTCAAACTAGAGCATTAAGACCACGCACATTGACGCTATAGAAAACAAAAATGTATTCCTTGCAGTTGTAAACCGGGTCAAAAATGGTCGTGAGATAAGGCAATGGAAGTACATATATTGGTGCAATTGTGTAACATAAGTTACTTGCCTTGATTAATGGTTACTAAATACTAGCTATTTCTGGCACCTAATATCCACAGAGTTACAACAACGTATATGTAGCATGATGGAGGATATCGATATGAAAATGTGGAGAGATGGTCATTGGTTATGTCACATCGTAATTTAATATGACATAACGTTATTTAATTGTCTTGTATCTTTGAATGTGGCTTGAAGCAAAAGCGCATTGTTAACTCAAATAGGAAATAATTTTAATTAATATAATTTTTATTATGTTCATTCTACTCACTCACCTCGACTATAATGGCACATATCAGGTTTGCAATGTATAAAGATAATAACATGAATTTAAATCCAACATTGTCGTTATTCAATGTCGTAATTCCAAAAAACTCATCAACATCGGGAATCCTCGCGAAAAATAAAATTCCGAACCAAATCATCAATAGAAGAAAACCAACAAAATAAGGCACTGAAACAAAAATTATTTGATTCGATTATAAATTCCAAAGGCAGCATCTGGTAAATGTGGAAAGAATGCGTGTTCGATCGCAGGAAGTCTGGACAACTGGGCACGAATCTGCTCGACTCGAGAAATGATTTTAAGAGCATACTGCCACTACGATAAAGTAATCTAATCTAAAATCTGTAATTTCTATGAGGGTGTAGAAAAAGGACGTTTTTATCAACAAACCCTGAAATGTATATTGAGTGTACTACTTTTAAATGCAACATCATTTTGATATATTCATCCATGGTTTCATATTGATTCGGTCGGTAGTAAAGCATAAAATTCAGTTTTAACATTCAACTTATCAGTGACCTGATTGGCTATGAATATATTTTAAGTTAGATGTTGTTTCGACACTTGATGGTAATGCAGCCAGCAAGCGCGAGAGTGATTCAAAACAATTGTCGAATTGGAAATCGAAAGAAATTCTAAGCGCTGCGAGACAGCAGGGAAACAGTAACGTTAGTGATTTATCTTAGCGAGGATGCTCTTTTCAGAAGTGACCTTATTTAACTATAAATATGGTTTCAAAGTTGAATTTTGTTCTAACATTGGATCAATGAATAAGCGGAGGAATGATGAGTAGTAAACTCAAAAGTTGATATTACTTACCATTTCTATACAGTGGTTGACGATGTGGACGACCTTTGTAGAAAATGAACGCTAACATCATATTTTGGAAAATGGACGTATAAAACATCACTGTGTTTTCTGCACAAAGAATATTATCTTTTGGATGAGTCATATTTGGCTCCAGTCTAGTGTACCTGCGTAGAAAAAGTGATAAATATTCGTTAGCATTGTTTAACCGAAGAAATATTATAGAAAATAAGTACGCCGAAGCAGAATTAGTTACACTAAATACAATTCACAATTTTCAATGGTTGACACATCTCAAGGAATAAGTTACAACGATAACAATGAACATTCGCTACTGAACATTTCCGGAGTTATCATGCACCTTCTCCTAAACTGTACAAAAGCAGTAGGCTAACAAATGATGTACACTTGTGTTGAATGACCCGCTTCCCGTGCACCCCCCTGGTTACGAAATCAGAATGTTTTGAACGGAGTCGAAGCCGGAAATGTATGTTCAAATTCCATGTCGTAAATTTCTCGAGGTCGGTGTCGGAATTGCAGTGTTTAATGGCGATAAATGACGCCATCAGTTTATACAAGAAAACATTCAGTTTGTTGAAGAATGCCTACATGCGCCAAAGCTTTTATTTTCAAAGAAGGATTTCCTCGAAAGGTCGGAGCTGTTTGTAAATTTCCCCCGACCAGACGGACAATTAATGTATGGCCAATTAATTGGGCGAGCAAATAATCGTGGCCTAAACCAGACATCGCGTTCATTATATATTTTCCTTACCAGCTGGACTGATTTTGAAGAAGAACGAATGATGAAACTTGAAATAAAATCAACAATGCTATTTGTAGGAACAAACAAACAAGCATAATCGGTGAAACTAAAGATAAATGTGGAGGTTTTTTGGATAACATTTTAGCAGCTCCACCGACTGCAAAAAACAACGTCACAAGTCCCGTGGGCCCAACATCTGCAAAAGTGAACTGCATATCGCTGTAGTAGGAGTTTATCTGAAAATAAGAAAATAGAAGTAAAGATAAATAAGAATAGAAAATAGAAATATATATTATTGAAACATTTCTCTTGAAACAAAAAATCTTTCTTTCTTGAAACAAAGTCAATGTTCACTTCTTATCACACTCTGAATAATATTTCTAGATAACCAAGTAGAAATTTAATAGCAAACCTATTACTCATTTTCAACTATATGAGATAAACCAATTTTTTCATTAACTGTCCATTATATATGACCAATAAGTGCGACTCATATCTGTGGTAAAGTTTCATCAACTCCGCGGGCTTATATATAAGAAGATTTTATTTGGCGGCATTTTTTTTTAAAAATAGCTAAATATATATTTACGAGGACATGCAGAAAAATAGTAATGCTTTTAAATCAGTTCATGTGATTACTGATTGCTATTCATTTTAATACTATTTGTTTTACTGTAAATTAGATTTGGGGCCCCCGAAGTATGTGAACCAAGATGGCGGACATCGGAATGTAATATGTGTACTAGGTTAGGGTTAGGCCATAATTTTAGGTATAAATACTACGGGAGGCTCTTGGCTAGTCTTCGAACTGATAACAGGACTAAAATAAGGAAAATTGGAAAAAAATTATCGCCTAACCCTAACCTGTTACCCATGTTACGTTCCGATGTCCGCCATCTTGGTTCGCATACTTCGGGAGCACCTTAGATTTTCTACAAAACTGGTCGGGACTTCCCTGAACACCGCCCCCAAGATCAAAATCTACTCACGGTAAATAGTATAAGAAGAGAATGATATTGAGCGAAGCAGTAAACACAAAGATATTTGATCATTCCAAATGAAGTCACCAGTGCCGCTCTGCCTTCACTAAAAAATGGCAAAATATCTGGTCACAGTACAAACAATCAAGGACAAACACACAAGCATATTCAGAATATAGAAGGGTGGCATTGAAAATAGGTATATACCACAATATTGCTTACAATTGTGACATCATAGTGCATATTTCATTGTCACACCATGATACTTTTACGCCACGACACAGAATAATCCGGCAACCTTGTTGAGAGGTAGTGATTGAATTTACTTTATACATCGTTTCGCTTTATACATTTAAAAGGCAGTATATTCTAAGAATCATTCATTGACTCGAAGCTAATGGTATACGATAGGACAGCAAAAATACATACCGTATAAGTTTCAAGCAACTTGAAATATCTTTCCTCATAGAAGTAAATGGAGCAACAATTGAAGTTTCAGCTTCAGCAATAGCAATACCAGAATGAGCTGCTTTCAACGCACCACAATCATTTGCCCCATCACCACACATTCCGACGATGTAACTGAAGGAAAATAAACATTGGTAAGATTAATCTTGAAGGTTTTATAAAAAAAGTCATAGTTGTTATATAAAAAAGTTATAACTATATTGATTAAAGCAACCATGTTTATTTTATATGATGAGGGAGATTTGGTACTCGAGCTTTAGTGTGATAATAGACGCTGGTATCTTAAGGTAAAAATTCCAAAATTTTGGCTCTACAATTTATTTAATTACAAATAATCTCAATATATCTACTTTCCAGCAAAATAATTACGGTAATATAAGTCGAATTTTACTCCCAAAGTGATTTCTCGCATCTTGTCTCACTCACAGTGAACAAAAAATCATCCAGGAACCATTTTCTCACAAATTGTATTCCATGTATCTTACCTCATTTCTTGTAGTCCTTCAACAAGATATCTTTTGTGATCTGGTTTCATTCGTGCAAGCACAGTAGCTCCGACAAGTACTCGGTAGAATAATCTTGTTGAATGTTCCCGAAGTAATACCAACGTTTTACCAGTCAAAGCGAGGTGATATGTAGGAGCAAGTTGTGACTAAAATTGTCAATAAATGAATAATTAAGTGACTTGATTCATTTAAATAAAACTCATGTTGAGCTGAATGTATGTAACTCAATAACGTTAATGTTTTTGATTTAGCAATTCTAACTTATATTTATCTGAGCTTATTCTGGTGTGAGAGTCATGGGTTTCCCTCTCTTTCCCTTCCTGGGGTTTTTCTACATAAGTAGTTCATTTACTGCATCACCTTCTGAATCTGTCATTCAATGAGGCTTATAATGGCTTTGTAAAATAAACCTTGCGTACACTGGGAAGGAAAGAGAGATGAATGCAAGGATGACGTAAAAGCATTCCAGGTGGTTCTACAAAGAATGCTTTTTATCTACAATTCAATCGCGTAACTGGCTGTTAGATATATCCCGATGTGGTGGGATCATAAGATGCCACAGCACATATAAACCAACCATCTGCCCTATAAAGATAAATATATGACTGATTGAAGTGTTCACAACGTAGTTCAAATTGACCTCAATTATTTCAATAGCAGTTTTCTTAGAGTGACTTGGATTCATTGTTTTTATTCCTCTCCGTGTACAATCAAGATTCCACTAAAAATAAAAAAAAATATCATAAGATGTTGTAGAGATGAAAATTAAAAAACTAATTATTAATATAAAAGCAGTATTTCAATTCAAAAACTCAACATCGATTTTAATTTTCCAGGCAACGATCATCTGAATAACAAGAGAGCTATTCTCAAATATATGGACACGTAGCGCCACCCAATGGCAATAATTTTGATGACGTCATAGCGGGGAAAAAAGTAATAGCCTTCTGGAGGAAAATTTTATCTTTAACCACTGAAAATTTCAAAGCAATTGGTCCAGTATTCGAAGAGAAAAGCGATTTTTTTAATGATAATGACGAAAGAAAATAACAATAACAACAAAATTTTGAAACGATCGTTATGGCCACTAAACGTGTCCAATAAATTCGTCAAGCAATCTAAACTCTGGTGTCTAGAGAATCTCGTAAGTTGTAATTAATGATTTATAATTTGTTTGTAGTAATAACACTATTTAAAAAAATGCAATATTAAAAATCTCTTATACCGATATTTTCAGATCCCCTGTATTTTCTTCAATTTCTGCTTCGACGATAACAATTTTATCAGCTTCATTAATCATGCAACATTTCTTTGCAACATATAAAGCAGTTTCTAAATTGTCTCCTGCGAAAAAGAATTTTCATGTCAATTCGTTCGTGTGATTCAAGATATAGACTACGTCAGTTTAGTTAGGCAATTAAAATACATTTATCATTGCATGATCCTTTCATTACTTACTGACTTCTTGCTATAAAATCTCATGTACTTTATATTTTTGGCATGTCTTATATTTTGAACATAAATTACACTGGATTAAAATTCATTTAGACTTGTACAAAAATCTATATCTACCACGATTGAGTAAGAGAAATTCTAACAAATCTATATATGTCATCACCGCATAAAATGTGCATGCTCCTATCAACGCCATCACCACATGATCGGTGCATGATCCACCATTTTAAATAGCCTAAATAGAAAACTCGTGATCCCGCTTTGCGTCGGATTTTATCGCCTCAAACAGATTGGTGGGAAATGAGTGGCGAGAATCGGCTGTTTCAAATAAATTGAATTTTGTGTTCAGAGTTCTTTTTTATATACCTGTAGCCATGACTGTTCTTATATTAGCCGTTTTCAGAGAAGAAATCGTTTCCGTGGTACGTGGTTTCAGAGGATTTGCCATGACAACCAAACCCAAGAAATTGAGGGATGATTCAACAATGTTTCTTTCCATAATGCTAATGTCATTGTTAGGGTTCTCCAAAGTTCTGTTAATAATGATAATATATATATTAAATCATTATAAAAGAAGAATCAAAAGTTGATGTTTAACGTAAACAACCCTCACATTATCACAATGACTCAAAAAATTGAGTATGAGCTGTTGTTTTGATCATATGCACGTTTCTTTAAACCTATTTAACTATCCTAATATCAGAGCTAGTTAGTCCTTCTATTCTGAACGGAGACTCGTAGATCTATATGCTCATCCTGTTTATAGCATTGTTTGTGGCAGTGATGCAAAATATTTTGCAACCAAATTTTATACTGTTTTATTCTTGATAGGCTTAAAAGGTTATTACCTGTGTGCTAGCGCCAACACGCGGTAACCTTGTTTTGTGTAAAATTGAAGTTTTTGCTTGAAGTTTGCAGGCACTGTTATGTATAAGAATAAATATATTAATATAAATCTCATTTTAAAAACAATACCTTTAGACGTAAAATGTGCATATACTTTGGCATTATACTTTTCTACTTGAGTAGCATTCTGTGCTCTTATTGTCTAAGTGTGAGAAAAAACAGGTACAACACCTTTCCAACGCATGTATACTCGAATGACTACGTATAAATAACATGTACATAGACATACCTGACTTTTGGTTGCATAATGTAATTATTGTTTCAGGAGCTCCTTTTACATAAATTTGCATTTTATCATCTCCTTGTAACTTTGTAATGACGCTCATTCGTTGCATCACCGAATTGAATTGAAAGACGCGAGCAATAGCAATCTTTGCCAACTATAAAATACAATAGTTCTGGTTTAGTCTGGAAAAAGGATATCAAGAGCGTAGCAGCAATTGTAACTATCTGAAATCGCAATACAAATATCTGCAATACGACTCAAATTTATATTAAATTAGTGAGATCGTAACAGTCGGAAAACGTAGTTTTCAAAAGTCTTTTCAAGAGCGTTGCAAGCAACAAACAATTGCTATGTGTGATACGATACAGGAAAATGCTTTTTTTTACATTTCGATCTGGGTGAAATTCTATTTGTAGAATGAACAAGTCAATGCGATGTGAAAATAACAATTAGATTTTTTCTTTATTTGTGTATCTACTAAATCGTACACGTTTTGCTCCGTAAAGACAAAAGTATCCTGTTATTTTATGCTACAAAGCTTTATACACGTGAGTGCACAAGATCTTAATTTGAACAACTTATTAAGATGTATTACATCCACGTATTCAAATGGAACCATACTCACGTTATTGTCATCGGCAGCAACCACACATGAACATCCTTGACTCCATTTTTCCGTCGATTGGTTCAAGCACTGAAAATAGAAATACACATAGATAATACCATTTTCAAAACTTGGATTTTCCAATTTGAACTGAGGTACGAAATATTTACTTTTTAAAAGCGCCCGGTAATGTCAACTTCTGCGAACAATATCCATCAAATTACTTTAACTAATGATGCGTTGAGGAAGGGGAATATAAAAGTGAAGAAGAACAATTTTCTCTGATGAGCATACTTTTGAAATTATATCCCGCCAATAAAATTAAATTGTTAGCGTTTAATTGATGGTATTTAAAATGAAAGAGAGCACTAATATTTAATGCATCCATCATAAAACAGCTTTACATATGAGAGGAAACTGAACTTCTCCCTATAATGAACTCATATATCGATTTCAATTTTGAAAGCTATTTATTTGATGCATAAACATCGTCAAATCGATTTTAGAGATTTAATTTCAAGACTACGCACTAAGATAGTTTCATTATCGGCCATATAAGTCTGAAAACAAATCTTGTAGACATATATCAAAAATATTCTTTTGAAAATAAGTAACATCAACGTGACTTTTATAGCGTTTCGAATTTGTGGCTACAAATCAAGAATTCAGTGTAGCTAATGTTTTATCAAATTGAAAAAATTTGGCAACGGGTCACAGTTTATTATAAAATGACATTTCTTTTTCAAAATTGTGAACGAGTCAGTTGCATTTTAATCATGTTTCAAAGGTAAAATAAATTGGCTACTACACCTATGCTCAGAGATTTTCTATGGTTAAATTTACAAATCCCTAATATTCATATCAAAAATAAAATCATGCGGTATTTTACGTCATAAGATCCAGTTCTGCATTAAAACTTTTTTTGCAAGTCAATTAATCCACATATCAAAAAAGAAAGAATGTAAAATCAATAACTGCAAGTCTATTGGCCGCTGTTTAACTCTCCAAAACATAAATTCCAACAAACACAGGGTTTAACATGGTAGGCTAATGCAGGATTCCGCTTAATCGCTATCAATCGAATGTCCACGAAGGAATTCACTGTAAAATTGTGGATCGTAAAATCAAATTATTACTGTTTTGACCATGAAATGAAGTTGATTTTTTTTACTTATTTTAGAAGTAGTACATATTTTGTGTACCAACGCCCATACAATTTAACCAATTTACAAATTACCCTGCTTAAATTCATAATCGAACGCTGTAAAAGGTTTTTAGTAAATTGAAATTTATCGATCGCACCAGGCCGACAACGAGAGCTGACTTGACACTACTGAAATAGTCGTTAATTTAAGCGGTATTTATGCGCAATTGAAACAACTTTCAGGCGTATAAAGTTGTAGAAAGGCAAATACATCAATTAGCAATTTTATATAACTAACATCCTCATGAATAGACTTTATATTAGAGTGAAAAGACATAGGGTGGCGTTTCAAACCGCTACTTCGTTTATAGTAGACTTAGTTAACTGAAAATGCTCATCACTTTTAGTTTATTTTACAGTTTGCTTAGCTTTAATTAAGCATATTTAACTGTTGCATATTTAGCTATTGGTTGAAAAACGATTGAAACTAAATAGGCTCCATTGGAGTGCTAGCTGCCGGTGAAAGGTGACCTTGTCATACACCGATTGAGGAGAAGGCAAACAAATTTCTCATTTCACGGAGATTAGACAAGTCGATGAAGCCGTGGATAAAACCTGAATTGGTATTACAAGGAGTCGGAACCAAGATTACTGTGATTCGGACAATCAATAATAATATGTCATAACAGAAATGAACATGAAATTGGATATTTCACGAAGACAAAGCTCGGGTGGTGGTTCAACCGGTGCTAATACAGGGTCGGGATCACTAGGCGGAAAAGGGTCTTTAGCGTGTTGTAATATGACGCAGTATCGCTTTACTGGGGGTGAGGTAAAAACTGTACAACTAGGAATTGCAGTTTTGTTATTTTCAATTGTACTTCTTGCAGTATTGTCATCTACAATGTTATTGCCTGCATTACAGAGTCAGAAGTTAGTAACTACGGTAAGTTACGATAAGTAATGATTTTAATATTAGATTAAGATTGGTATTAATTCAACTATGGCTGGAGAAACAATAGAATTGCTTCCCTGAATAGGAATCACTTTTGAACTACTATATACCTATGGTAATTTGTGTTGGGCATATTTATGTAACGCTTATTTCTAGCTGACATGACGCCCACAGGATTGACGTTATGCAGTTTCTCGTGTAGTTCATCGGCAAGGATTTTGTATGGTGCATTTGTTTTTCTCATAAACTTGGTGAAATAATGTTTTTGTGGGAATGAATTTATAATACAGGCATTGTAACACTGAATTCTGTTTCTATAAGCAATATTATCGAATCTCAAAACACTTATTTTTAGGCCTTGAAACTCCGAAAATATATAAATGAAGTTTTGACGAAATCAATGTCAATAAAACCGAATATTTTCACTTTGTCATAGTTTTTTAAAAGAGTGAGCTCAAATTAAGCAAAAAACATCATTCTTTTATGTTTATTATTCATCCGTTTTGTTGTGTATTCGAATATAGAATGTCTTATGATAATATCAAAACAACAATGCCAAAATAATTTCATTATGATTTTTTATTGCAGCAATGCACAGTAATACGCTCAGAGTTAAAAAGGATATTTATTGAAGGAGAACGAAACGATCCGAAACGTTGTGCAAGAGAAGGATATTTTTGTTTACAAGTTATTGTTGTTTATAAAACAGCAAAACGACAAAATGAAAACGTCCATGTAGACGCGAAAAACAATTTTAAATTGAATAGAACATCGCAAAAATTCGAAAATTTGATAGCAACGAGGTGGGTAGCGTTATGGTTCTTTAGTATTAAACACTTGAAACAGAACAAAGCCTTGAACACCCAGTCACTTACAGCTGTTTATCCAATGAATATTATAAATCAGGAATTCTAGAGTTTAGTATATCTTAGAAAATTTGTTATTTTTTGGTGAAGTGATGGACGCGAAGATGTGAATAGAATTTTTTGACGAAGTGATGGACGCGAAGTTGTGAATAGACACCCAAACATAATTAGGTGAATTTTCCGAATATAACAATTTTGAAAAGTTATACCCGATCGGAAAATTGGAACAAAAAAAACGTACATATGAAATTTCGACAGATATTTGTAAGTCAGCTTTATTGGCTCAAGGCCAATTATTACCAATGTAATACGTTCCATACATCCCTACAATGTTATATACATACATATTTATATACTTAAATTTTTTTTTGTGATGTACAGTTTTTTGAAATGTTATTTATACAATGCATTACAGAAAACTACAATATCCACAAACTGGAAATTTTATTGAAAATGTTGGTATTAGGCCTGAAACAAGAACAAAAGTATACACGGCTCAAGCAATACGGGCTGTTCTGAGATTGAACGAATTACAATTTTCGAAGAGAGGGGTAAGTAAACTCTGAAGGGGACTGAAGCATACACTGTTATGTAGCATATATAGAATAACGTTTACAAGAACATGGCGTATAACCTATGTTAAATAGTGTGATTGCAACACTAAAATGGGATTAATTTTACCATATTCATCTGAAACGTTGATTAAACTGAAATGATTACATTGGAATCGCATGTCATTAGGTGTTTTTAAATTTGCAAATAAGCGATTGTTGAGATATCGTTCATTGAACTATTAGTCCGTTTTCTCATTTTTATTATTTAGCATTCATTTGTTGCAGGCTTTATATTAATAATTTTTATTGCCCATGCATCTATATAAAGATTTATGCCGACTTTTTGCTGAAATCACATGGATACAATCTATTTTTGTGAATACGAAATAATCTAAGACTACCACGGTTAACAATTATAAGCTTACAGCGGATTTAACATTGACACTTCCAATTTTCAAGTTATTATTTCAATTTTATTTTACTTCAGGAAGTATGCACTATTCAACCTTCCTGTCTTCCGGATCCCAGTGTTGATTTTCGGAGAATAAATTCACTACAACATAGCATTGGTAGACCAGGATTAAATTTTCCGTGTCATTATGATTCAAGAAACTTTGCTGATGTGATTCTTACAAAGAAATTTGATAAATGGACAATATTTCACTGGTAACGACCTAAAAATTTAATATTGGACATATGGTAAAAAGATTCAGAAGTTTAGTCCCAAATTTAGCCGAATTTTACTGGTTTTCCATTCAAAAATTAAAGACAAACCATCTTGTATTTAATATATATAAGCGCTTTAATGCGAATGCCCAATTCTCAATTAATTGCATGTTGTCGTAGCCTTATTCTGACACGGTTAATCCGCATTTCATGCGAAGAGTAATTTTTATGAAAAATGTCATATATATATATAAATATCTTGACTTTGAGGTTACTTTTTATATCTATCTATTTCAAATATAAAAATAAAATGATGTTTTATTTTACATATTTCAGTCTATTTTGGCCTGGAGTATTTTTTGGATTGGGAATTCTAATTATTTTCACTGTGTATTGCTGCATTGGTCGATTCAAGTCAGCCATCGGAGCCCCTGACAAGGTATAGTAGAGTATAGACAGACAGAATTGATTCTGAATTCGATGTTATCAAAATGTAAAATGATTACATAGTTCACAAGTAAAGTAACATCCTGCTTTCAATAACAAATTAACCAAGTTCGTTTGATGACATAAATCACAGTATATATTCACACTCTCAGCTATTTTTCAGTAAATTTTTAGAGGCCAGGGTAGCATTTCGTTGCATTTAACGAGAAGCATATTGGGTACATATTTTACTGTTGGGATACAAATATAGCCTAACGTAGCGCACGAGATAATGCGCAGAGTTCAAAAGTTTTTCGCGCTAGACCTCATGCCATTTATATACATTCTTTCTGTGTAGAATCATTACTGGAATGATCTATGATGCTGTATGATTAAACTGCAGTACCAATAGTATACGTATGTGATATTAGTAGAATGAATAATATGAAAAAAAATTTCTGGCGATGTATAAAGATGGCAATATATGGTATTTAAAGACAAGATTTGATAAAAAATAACCCAATAACTATATGTTGACTTGATTTAGAATGCATTTGGGAGTCTTGGAAATTATTCATCTGCAAGAAAGAAACCATCTCAACAATCGTCAGTAAAAAGACCAGGAGCTCCAAAAAATTTGGGGATGTCAAAGTTTGCTTACAAGTGAAGTCACACTTTTGTGTATGTGCAATTCATAAGAAAGATATATGAGTGGGGAAAGAGTCAGTGTTTTACTAGACACCCAGTAGAACACGAAGAAAACCCTCCGAATTAAACTGCCATATCGCCATCAGAACTACACAAAACATTAATGAGAAATGAAGTGAATGTCAACCTCTACTCTGTTCCTTGTAACCAAAACTGAGTCACTGAGATGCTGTTCTGTACTGACAAGCTGTTATGTTGTTGAATTTATTGGTTTCTATTACGTTACTATATCTTATAGCTCCTTAGCTTTAAATACTATGGCTGATTTGAAATGAAAGGAAAACTGTGAACCGACAAGTGATCCTGATGCAAGTAAGAAGAAATAAACCGCTTGGACGCTGATTGTATTCAAATAAATATCTAAACTTACAAAAACTACCACATTTGGAGAATTTATTTTCATCAGAGGCAGGAATTTATTTCATCGAGGCAGGAATATTAGACAGACATGCAAGGATGCATACACTGTCCAATATCTATGCTTTCGGTTTTTTTTTTACCACGTATAACTTATTCTTCAAATAAGGCCGTAAACGGTCACTTGTGCGTGTAATATTTCCTCAGACTTGAATTGGCGAACATAGCCCACCAAATCCATTGCTTTTGAAATAAGTGGATATCGCCTTGGGTTGATCACTGACCTACACCGGTTCCTGGTTCCGCCATGCCAATATGATCGTTGGGTGAATCCAAACGTCGAAAAATATCAACCATACACGTATTTCCCATAATCAAATTGATCAAAAAAACTCTCAAAATCAGCTCCATTAATATGGCCCAATGAGAGTTTAGTATTACTGCGTGATATGACTAATTTAATTTTCAAAGAGCCATCAAAACTAGTAAGTCAGACTCACCCATTTAGTGGCTTGAAATAATTCGAGGTCGACCGGATCCCCAGTTACTTTATCATCAATTGTAACGAGAGAATGGCAGCATGCAAGAGCGTTTAAACATTCTAAGCCTGTCTTTCCGTATTGAGGAAGCTTCTCATAATCGTGGATTGCATCATAAAATGATGGCTCGTTTTCGGCTGTTAGGAATAACAAAATTAGCATAGTGGATACCAATATCAAAGAATAAAAACACGCACAGCAAACAGACCCAATTGCGCCTATTTGTCAGGCGCGAGCCTAAATTAAAATTCAAGTTTGAATCGCGGCATATTTTATTTGAAGATCCAAATATGTTAATAATTGGAATGACCTCTATTGCTCACAACCAGTTGTTTGCTTATTTATAAGCTCAAGCCAATAGTTAAAAAGCCTGAATTTAAAATAAACTAAAACGTGCAACGTGTTTTTTTTTCGCAAAAACCTCTCATTCGGACCGTTTTTTTATGAAAATGATTGATGCATGGGATAATCTAAACGGATTCCTGCGAGAATATAGTATCAAAAGAATATAATTTTTGCCAGAACGTGTTTTTGCGGTAAATGTCTTCTGCCAGAATATAGCTTTGGGAAAAATATATGTACAATATCTTCGATAACTTTCATGAATAAAAAAGTATTGTTCGAATATATGGATACGAAGATCAAATGATTAACAACCTTAGTACAAAAGTACACACAGAAACCTGTTTTCTGATAATTTAAACGAAAAATTACCCAATACCGTAGAAATTCACATCGGCTTTTTGCTTTTCTCTTTAACTACTGTACCAATCGCTTTAAATTTTCAGTGTTTAAATTTTGTATTTCGCTAGGAGGCTAAGAATGTGGGCTCAGATGGATTCGTTTCTTGTATGTGATGGCGTCATCAAAAATAAAAGTTGGCGTCATCAAAAATAAAAGTTGCGCACATTGTGGCTGGTCCGCGTTTGCTTTAGCGATCTGGTGGTCAGGCGAAGTCGTGAAGAATGTGGTATCGCATGTCAACTGACAGATTGCATACCTAGTACATATCACTTCGTTTTGACTTTCGTGTCCAGATATCTGAGTATCACTCTCTTTTAATAAATATATTATTTGAATTTGATTCCATAATTTGCGATTAATGAATACCGCGGACAACTTGTTTTCTGGTTAAAGCGACAAGAATGTAGAATTTGTTTGCACAACGGAAGATATATTTTATAATTCTCAAAATTTATCTATATAGAACGTAATCAAATGTCAAGTTATTCTATAATAATAATGTGAAGATTAAACTCACCTGATGCAATTTGTTGAGTGCTGTCTTGTTCGATCCCTTTACACGGAACAACTCCCCATAATTTAAGATCATTTTCAGTAAGTGTTCCAGTCTAAATCACAGAATGTTTATTTAAATATTGGTATAATAGGTTGCGTGCAGAAAACATGATGAATATTCATTTATTCGACATTTCAATACGAAAATCAGTCTATAAAAACCGAACAATAACGAATCTGTTATCAAAAAGTAGCTGTAAAATAGCAGATTCCAAAATTAGATTTTTTCCTGAGTTCAATGTAATGAGTACCTTCACTTTGCATCATTTTTACCCTCATTCAATCAGGTATCCTACTCCCAACGTATGTGAACCAAGATGGCGGACACCGGAACATAGTATGTGTACCAGGTTAGGGTTAGGCCATACTCTTATTCCAATTTTCCTTTTTTTAGTTCTATTACGAGTTCGGGGACTAGCCAAGTGATTCCCGTAGTATTTGTACCTGAAATTATGGCCCAACCCCAACATGGTACACATACTACGTTCCGGTGTCCGCCATCTTGGTTTACATATTTCGGGAGTACCCTTAATCATACTAAGTTATAATATTAAACATATTTATTTTACCTTGTCGAAACACATGCAATTGATCTTTCCACTGATTGCAATTCGTGGCGGAGATATGCAGAATATTTTTGCAAGTCTTAGTCTGAATGTAAAATAACCAAATTTAATTTATAACTAGATACCCATTCAAAATGATTTTTAGCGACAAAGGATTAACTCTATGGCAAAACTCTACAAATCTCAAACGCTCCAACGTCGAAGTGGACCCATATATATTACTTGAAAACGGATAATCCTTTAGTAGCATATGGTGTCGTTAATCACCGAATTTGCCATGTAGAGTGACACACTTGTACTGCGATTTGTGTGACAGTGATTCTTTAGAAACACGCGGCCATCACGGTTTACCACACACGACTCATGCAGCTCAAAGGTTCTTTATGTAATTTTATTACAAAACAACAATGGTATGCGGTACGGTACGCAGGGCAAAAGTGGTATGTTTGTGAATAAATATGATTTTAACCTCAACAAAATGCACTGTTACATAAATATAGTAATCATACCTTCTCTGGGCATATATTGTGGCAACCGTCAAAGCTGCCGGTAGCCCAGGTGGTACTATTGTTGTTATAAGATCCAGTACTCGTTTTACTATGAAAGAAGCTGGCGCCTGTAAAAGAGTAAAAATGTGTCAAAATGGAAATTCTAATATATGGTGCGAAACAATGTAATGTGTATACTTACCCCGAGAGAAGCTAAGAAGACGATTGCCAGAATTGCACCAAATAATCCTAAAACATATGATATGATGAAATAATTGGGGTATTTTTAAAATACAGTAGAACTGAAGTAAAATGAAGGAATAGCACTGAGTGTGTGTGGCCTGAACTTATCATATCTAAGAGAAAAAATATAGCGTTCAGTTGTTTAAAATATTGAACATCACTGACAGTGACAGCTATTTCTGCTATTATTCGAAAGCACAAGTCAAATCGAACAACGAAGTTTTATCACGACGATCCTAAAGTGAACCGAAAATGGATAGGTATAATTTTTTAAATGTAGATTACTTTTAGACTTAGGATTAAAGCATGATGATTTGAGCAACAACTAAAGATTTGTACCAAAGATTGTATAAAATATCATGGTTACATAGATAATATAGGAAAGCGAGTGTTTGTATATTGTTGTTCCTCATCATTACTACGCAAGAAGAGAAACTAAGCATAACATCCTCGCAAATTGATCCATTATCCAGAGCTTAAACTCGAGATCTCTAACTTGTTACTTTCGAACTATTGCAAACGTGTTTCAGGTACTTACCCAGTAGTAGCATAACAAGTATGAATTTGAGACTGTCATTGTAGTATTTATAATCCATGGGACTCGGTGATAACATTGATTCAATCATTTTCCCTTTCTCGGTGTAGAAACCTGATAATATAAAATACAAAACTAACCGTTACATTACTCTATGATACCTTAAAAAACATAGCACATATTCATTGCGAAGTAAAATAAATAAAAATTGAGAACGATCAAACTAACATAAAAGCAGTTTTTTATCGTAATCTGTTTGTCCACAGGCTAAGATGGAGCAAAATATACATGAACCTCATTATGTGTTGTGTAATTTACACATACCGTTTAGTTTCTGTGGCCAAACGACGGAACATGTTGAGAAAGTGATTTTCTTACACCCACCTATAGGAGGTGATCACCCCATATAAAATTTCAATCACCCCTCCCCGCACTAATTTTGAGATGTGACATCACACTTTAAATCCTACCTTGACTATAATTGTATTTAAATGTCCAGAAAGGGACGTATATACAAGATAGTTTTATCGCTAATAGATAAACATCTATACCACCCCGTAAATTTGGGAACACCCCCCCCTAAAATGAAATGCTGGAGATGAAATACTGAAAGGCACTTCTTTCAAGTATTGAGGCTGAGATCGGCATGTTACACTCCTCCAGGTTGACAATGCCTACTACACAATGTTACAACCTTTAACAGGCATACTAAATCAGCCGAATCAGATTATGTAAATTAGTGACAATCACAAAGATAATTATTCAAACTAACCTGTCCGAATGACAAGAGCGCTTGGTAGATTATTTGTTTGATGATGTTGAACATCAACAACTTTAGTTCCTCCATATAATGTATGTTGTTTATGTCGACTAGGATCGAAGAATTCCATTCCAAATTCAGTTGTAGACGACACGAGAGGAGTTTTCAGAACGGGAACACTTTCACCTGATTAATCAATGAAAACAGTCTGAAATGTTGAAATTGTAATAGGGAACATAACAAGGAGAACGAGCAACGATATCTTGGAAATATTTATTAGAGAAATGATCCAGTGGCGTCCCTGAACCACGTATGCTGTGGAGGGTAAACTTCGTTGCTTGGTACCCATCCCATCATTTAGTCCAGAATACAAAATGTGAAAAGATTATGTAGGAGTCATAGAGCATCATAAACACTTTTCGTGGCAATAACATCCAGAAGTTGGTTCTTCCATACAAAATGCAATTTACCAAGCAATTCATTGTAAAATTTACTAAACTATGTTATGCACTAATCTAATTTTTAACACTTATCAAAAGCGATCTAAAAACGCTCAACGAGTTAGAATGAGTACAATTTCACAAAAGCAAGAAGAGTGGTGAAATAACTGGCAAGCCCATGAAAGCAATGGATGGTAGAAAGGTGGCATATAAAAGAAAGTGAGAGAACGAAGTCTAAATCGAAATTAAAACAACAGTTTGCAAACTTGTTTATACCTGTCAACATGCTTTCGCTGACAACACAATTTCCCGACAACAAAACACAATCGCACCAAAGTGTGTCAACTTTGTCCCCTATCTCTATGACGTCACCAGGTAACAAAGACTTGCTGTCACGTGATTCAAATTTGTCACCTACTAATACACGAACTGTTCCCGAACCAGAAGACATTTTGTGAATCATAATATCTTGCTGTAACGCGAAATAGAAATGTAATAGTTAAAGACGTCTGGTCATGATGTACATTGAATATATAAGAATCGAGGTTGTTTAGTAATTGGCACGCAAATGAAAATTCACGCAAAACATCAGGCTCGCTAATGTACGTTCTCGCCAAACTACCTGCTTAAATCTTGTATATACATTCAATATCGGCAAACTAAATAGTATTTTACTTTAATTGTATCATGTGCAACCAACCGCGGGCGCCTCAGCAAAATGAATATCTGTCACGTTATAAAATATCTACAATAAATGCAATAGATATATACTAGTTTCTCAGCAATCGTACCTTTCTCGTCAAGTATAATGATAATGTGATTGATACAGTCGACATAACTACTATAACAGCTGGTAGACTGTAGTATTCACCCACACACCACACAACGACAGCAAAAAGTTGAAATGCATAATATGGATTGAGGATCTAAAAAAGTTCAAATGTATCATTACTTGCTAACACAAAATATCTTTTTTTGATTTGACTTTACAATTGTAATAGTGAGGTGGATAAGGGCATTTCCTTCCGAGAAGTCGATTGCCGCCACTGTCAGCTTGAAACAAAATTATAGGTATGGCTATTGATACTTTTTAGTATTTGCCCGAGCTTATATAAGCTAGGTAACGGCTAATCCGATGTATAAATCGGATTGCGTTTGCGGCTACAAATTAGTTTGGTATCGCGACTAAGAATGAGCGCGTTTCAAAAACTCATACTTTTGGCCCACATGCTGCCTTATGTACGTATATATGTGGATATGGTCTTTTGTATAATGACCAACGGCGAGATCTAATGGGTGCATACTTCCAGAAATTTCACAATGGGTATAAATATTATTGTGAATAACTGGTTATTTTTTGGATGACGAAAATGAGAGATTGTGTTATACCACATATATATGTACTAATACTACAAAATGCATCTGTTCTACCTCGCGAAACAGAAGAACGACAATCGGAGTAATTTCAATTGTTATTGTGTTGATGCCAAACAATGTTCGACGATCTGGTTTATCACTTTCATTCAATCCTGATTTCATCTCTTTCATTTTTTCGATTGTTGTGTCACAGTCAAGGCCTCTGTTATAAGAAATAAAATGTATTATACATGAGAAATGGATAGTTAAAGCAATAGGGATGTATATATATATATATATATATAGATATCGTCCCAATCGCTATTTAATCGTCGCCTCCGAAGAGGGTTGTCAAATAGATAGCTCGTTTGATTTTAAGGGAAGCTACACAAAATGCGTACTGCCAATTAAGAGCAATGTTTACTAAATGAAAATAAGTTATTGAATCTAATCATTCTCAATTTACAGGGATTGACTTCTAGCTTTGCAGAATTTATAAAAATAATTCTTACAAAGTTAGTGGTATCGTATTTAATTTTACGAAGATAAATAAACAAACATAGCAAGGAAGAATCAATGAAAAATACGTATTAATTTAAATTTTTTTTCAAATACCTTTTTACCAGAATATTTTATAAAAAAAACTTCAATTATGAATTAGTCACAAGCCGTATGTAAGAATTACTATCAATTTTGAACTCAATGAGGTAAATCTTATATAAACGAACAGACATTGACGTATTGCAAATTTATTTTAACACGACTCGATCGACGATATTTCGTCATGGCATCTTTACATTATCATACTATGACGTTTTCTTCGATCAGGTTATATATATATTGAATTACATTAGTCATGTAGTAATTTTGTCTACATATATATACGTCAATGTCAATTGCATAGTGGTAATAGTAATTTAGTTGTTGAGCAAGTTAGTTGTTACCCGTAAATCAGAACGGTTGCGTCTTCAAGCTTGGATAAATTATGGCGCATGTATTACAGCATTTATTCTGCGCTGCCTATAGGAGAATTTAGTTCACTTTTGACGAATCGATGAAAAATAATCTTTCAATTGTGATTACTGCGTTTCGAAACTTGGTAATCGGTTTTCGTAGATAACTTAAAAAAAATTTCAAAAGTATTTTTTACTTTACAATTTCAAAATCGTTTTTATTTATATTAAAAATCTGACTTAATCTTAAATTGTTCTACGGATTTATTTGCTAATAATTTATTTACTATTTATTTTTCGTTTCGAAATATTTGACTAACACATTGTTCACAATCGACTATTTGTGACATGTTTAGAGTGAACATAAACAGACGTCATTTTCAGAACAATGTTAACTGTGAATAACAAAAAAAAAATAACAAAAAATACTGGGAACGACTGTGCATAGTGCAAAAATCAGTTGAATATTTTTTTCCTAATTTTTCCCCCTTTTTTAAAATAAAAACTTTGATTGAAAAAATACTGAAAAAATACAACTTTGAAATTATGTGGTAATAAGTTGAAATTAGTTTGATCATGTTTTAGGTACAATATCCAGATTTCAAACTTCAAACGTATATATATAGTGTATTATGATGAACCTTACCTCAACGGTACAAAGGTGTCATGTCTCCATAAATATTTATGAAATTTATGTTCAAAATATTTAGTGGGCTGAAGTCCATTTTTGCTTATGCTGGAGAGAGAAAAGTATGGGACGGCATCGTCATGTTTCGATTCTTGATCTTCTCTTTTCTGAAACAGAATTTTATTTATTAATTCGAGGATAGCTCAATTAATTAAGTTCTAATTTAAGATGACTGCAAATTCGAGATGACTACCTAAAATTACAGCATTTCTTCACTTCTCACATTATACAGAAGAATGTGGTTTACAAGCGTTCCACAAATCATATTAATTAGTTCGTTATATGATTGAAGCAAAGTCGATGTTTGCCATTTCAAATACATAAGAAATTGCAGATAGCAAGCATGAATCATCAGCTAACTAGCCAAATTATGTGTTGCGTATGACTACGCAATTGTTATTAACAGTAAATTGCTAAATCTGCAATATTGTTTTCATTTATCGTCTTTGCAAAAATTACCAACTAAAGATTATCATTGGATCGGTAAAATGCAGTTTGTGTTTGCTTTTTTCGAAAACGAAATGGACCTAAGGATCGTATTGTCATTTTGTATACTTATTCTTGTTGTTGTTACCGTATGAAAATTCGCCGCTTCCAACCTTAACTACTATAGGCCAATTGCTTAGAAATTTTCAGCGGTTAAAGATTGTATTTTTCGCTAGAAGGCTATTACGATGCGTTGACGTTTTCGAAATTAAAAATTTCACACCTCGTGTCGGTTCCGCGTTCGCGATTAGAGCATCGTTTTCTTGTTTAAAATACTGATCAATTTAGAACATTATTGCAAGTTCGAGTAATCAAATAATAAATTTTCACGTTCGAGTAAGTTTGTATATTTTTTAGTTCTAGTTTTGGTTCGACGCCCAGTTTCGCAAACGTGATCACAGTTAGAATACGTGTTCTAAAACGATCGGTGTATAAGGAAAATGTATAAAAACAATGAAGATAGAAGATTGCTAGAATTATTAACCCCAATTACTTCGTGGGTATTTATTGATATAAATAGGTTAGGTAAATAAACCACAATGTAATTATATATAAGAAACCTAAAAATTCAATAAATAATTTTTGAAAAAATCTGTACAAACCTCAAATCTAATTGCTATTTACGTGACGCAATTTACGAACGACCGTAGTGGTTTTAACGGATACGTGGGATGATACGGACTAAACAAACCTATTACCTGTTAAAATTCTAGAATGACGCAAATTGGAAATTTATCCCAAAGTATGGAAATAATAGAAAGTGTATAAATGGATAGATAATCGTAAGAAAAATAAATTACACCTTAATTTTAAGAAGGAGAGATATTTCATATTATTAAGAATAATGATTCAGCTAAATTTTATTTATTATATATAAACTTCTAAAAAATTAATATTATATTTTCCGAAACTTCAAAGTAATTTTTATAAATTGATAAAATAAATAATAATATAATACGAAAACATACCGCGTTATCCGTAGTGATGTCACCATTTCGAAATTGCCTGATAATGGAAACAAAAATAAATTTTAAATCACAGATCAATTAAACTTTTATCATCAGATTTCGTATGGCAAAGTACGAGGGATTTAAATGTGGACCTTTATAAATTAGACTCACATATGACTCAAGCTTGGCCAGGTGTAATTTAAATTACAAAAATATCTTACGAGCAATCAATTGGATCAAGCCTTTTCACTGTTTTGACGTGGTTTCTTTGATATTTATCATGAAGCACCAAATGTGTGGCTCTGTCAACATCACTCGCACGAGCTCGTACCCATACCTGCAATTTCCAAATTTAGCATTTATGTGTAAAAAGCTTATGTGCTGTTTACCGGCAGGCTACCTTCAAACGCTCAAAACAACCTGTTAAATGGTTGACTAACTCAACTAACTCTAATTTTGAATCGTTGGCAATCGAAGCAATGAATTGGAAACTTTATTGCTTTTGAAAATGTATAAATAGTTGAGAGCATAGTATTAAACGGACAAATATTTCATGGAAATTTGTTCCATGACTTCCTCTCAGTTTTAATAATAGCATCATATTCTTCATAACAAGTTTTTACTCCAAAAATATCAAGCTATCAGAAGCCAAAATTTGCTGACGATAGATAATATGGTGTTGAATCATTTTTTAGTAAGTCGTGATATTCGTTTGAGTATATTTGTGATTAAAATTGCACACGAACACGTAAACCAGGACACAAGAAAATTGTTGGTGGATCCTACCCCAGGAAAGATTCCTAGATGGGATTTGCATTTCTTCGCAGGCCAATGATCGCTTGTAGCTTTATGGCGTTGTAAGTCCAACGGATTTTGATTTTAAGAAATAATTCAAACAAAATAAAAATTAAGCCACTCGTGCTCGTGAAAGTATATATGAGGGAAAATCGACAATTCATCTTTTAACACTCATCGATGTTATTTGTTTGTTATTTTCACAAATTCTCCCAAAAGTATATATATTATTATTAAAGGCATTACATATATACACAAAGGAATATCTTATTGGTCCCGACAGACACATTGGCAAGCAAACTTACATACTCTATCAGTCTATCTAATTCATTTGTATTGGAACTGAAATGTATCAATTACATCTTTCAACAAACATTGAAAATTTGGCACACAACACTTTAAATTTTTATGCGTCATAAAGTTTCCCCTGTCAACGCTTGGGGAATTATGCCAAGGACCTTGATTTGCGGGTTCATAAAACAACATCATTATCGAGTAAGTATATTGGAGCTAATATCTTTTGTTTACTAGTTTTGTTGAAATAATCTTAAAGGTTGTTATCAAATTGGGTCGAAAAATTTATGCAAAATTCCCGACAAAATAAATTTATATGAGTTTGAAATAGTGGCAATACTTCATATATTTCAGTTGAGGTCACTCACCCTCCACTCTGGTTTCCAATAAAATATAAGAAGAACCAATCCGAGTGTACAAATGGTCAACAAATAATATAATGCTTTTCTTTCGTATGTTTCTCTGTAAGACCTGCATTTCTGGAATAAAAAAATGGTATTGGTATAATTTGATAAAATGAAATATACTATAGAATACACTATTCTATTTTACCGAGCGATGTACCGAGCGAATCAACGTCTTTTATAATTTCAAAAGACAACTGCAAATGTTACTTTGACAGGCATTAAGCATTAGGTGGAACGCGCTAATATATCGTTGCTAACAGTTGGTTCGTGAAATTCATGCAATTCTTACCAATTCATCGTCTGTTCCTTCGTTAATAATGCATTGATTTACAGCCATGGGTTCATATGTCGTTGATATTGTAGCACGATCTAAACTTCTCGAAAAAGCTGCAAACACTCTACCTGATACTGAGAAAGGCAAACGGGAAACTATAATTAATAAAAATGATAAAATCCCATTTTTTTTTTCAAAATTAAAAATTGTTTAAAAAGACATGGAATTAATACTTGGAACCAATACCTAAAAGACTGATATTGTTGTTTGATATCGGGTCGTATAAAAACAATACCCCAATATCTATTTTATAATTGTATACTTATTTAAAATTACATCAATTTGATTTATATCTTCCCTACTAAAATTAATGCAACTTGATTTGACTGAGTTTTCTACCAAAGGTATGGCCGTTGATAACTCGAGACCAAACAACAACTTCTATTAATAATGATGAACACAATTGAAATTAGAAGAAATAATCGTTGAGCAATACGTACAGTCTAGTCTAGACCTTACTTTAGGATATTCAAAAGTTAGACGACAATTTGTCTATTGTAAAATTCTAATTTTATGAACCATTGTTACATCACAATGGTCTAACTTCGAAGTCAAAATGTAAGCCAAGATGGAGCAGACATAAAATATATTTGAATAAAATTAATTTGGTTAGTGTAAAATTTTAAAACGATTTCATTTAAAAATTAACAAAATTGGATATATGTAACAAACTTATTTAAATAGTTTTGTGCAAAGAAAAACACGAAACAAAGTTTTATTGGACAAACATCTAGGATAGCGATAGAAGACCGTTTTAAAAAGAACATGGTTACTGATTAGTGATTATAGAGAGAACATATTAACTTTACATAAATTTACCAAATCAGAATTTGCGGTCCACTGGTAGACTAGCTAGATAGCGTTGTTCAGTTTCACATTTAAGTTAATAATAGGGTATATCAAAATCTTTACACAACAGCACCCAACCTAATCGGTCTCTCTCACGACATCCTGAAAATTGAGACCACGGTTCCCGATTTTTGACCCCTTCACGTAATAACACCACAAACCAAGTGGAAACACATTGCAAAGACTTCTGTTTTACCCGTAGATATACTGAGCATTGAATAACGAGATGCGTATTATTGTGTGACCAAGTTTAGGCAAACATATTTTTGCTTTCTATAAATCAAATCCCGGTGCAATAACTGAAAACCGTGTCTTTCGTTTCAAAGTCTAAATTGTGAATAAAGGAATTCCAAAGTTCAACAGAGTTATGTTACAAGTAACCGTAATTCGAAGCCGAAAATCAACACAGGATGGCATGCCGCACACGTGCACGGTGGCGATTTTCAATCTTCACAACATCCTGATCCGAAAAAATATTTCCATTTTTGTTTATTGTATCAACGGAAAACTTTTTTGTCAGACATGAGATAGACATATATACTGCATAGCAATGTGTTACATAACAAAGAATTTCATTCGTGTTACGTAGTATTTCAAGAGTGGGCAATTGTTTTTGACTCGCTAATATGTTGCTCTAAACTCGAGGTAACTTTACATTTAGCATAAGACTTAAAAGACATCATATATTTCTGCTACCGATGATTGGTTATTAATCAGCAATGTTGGTGGTCTGAATGAAATCTTCACGATGCCATTGCCGTGTGTTTTTCGCAAGTTATTCATTTATTGTACCGATTTATTTTAGTCATGTTCCGTACGGATCAAAGTCATTATTGAGAATCCAACACAAGCTAACTAACATTTCCCTCAAATCATAGACTAAAGATTGAATCCTACTTGTATTTGAGTTCAATTCTTTTGACTATAGCTTACAGTCACTTACGTTTGAAATTTTGTTTATATACTTCCCAATTTATAAGTACGCCGCCGCTACCTACATAAACATCAGGTTTATTTAAATCCTTTTATGCAATATAAATTTCTATTTCATAGAAATACGACTATTGCTTATACATGAAAATCCCAAAACTAAATTTAACCTTTCGATTGGGTACGCCCAAAGAAGATTATGATGACAGTTATTATAAATCAAATCGATAATCTTTTCAGCCATGTAGACAGACGATGGTTTGTGTGAAAATATCAGAGACAAAGAAGAAATATATATAAATGCCGAAATTAACTAATTCTGGTGAGGTCATCGATTATATAAATAATGGAAAATTTTTGGGTGGATTACAGATTTATTTATGCATTGAAAAATCTCTGTCTCCATTGAAATATATTTGTATATATTCGCCCTAGTCGATAACAATTTCGTGAATTATATTCATAAAATATTACTGAGCACAACGAAATTTGTCTACTTAGATCAAAATGCTTCGAAAATTGAACTGATTTTTATTAGGCCGCTGTCAGTCATACCAATTGTCGCTCTCCTCTTAATCTACCATACAGGAAGCAATCGGCGAATAAAGATAATGTTTCAGAAGGTTCAATTTAAATAATATATAGAGAAGCTGTTTATTATCTGTCGGCAGTTCGCACCTAAGTGTAACAATAATCAAAACTGCAAAATCAGTATAATTTGGTATTTAGTTTCAATTTTTTAATCCGCGTTGATTATTCATAGCGGTGAATTGTGAATAATACCTTAAATATAAAGTAATAATGAGAAAATATACAAGCATTTAAGTTGAAAGGGCATAATATGCCAAGTTGTGTTAGGGGTTCATTCTTACACGTGACTTATTCTAATTTAGTTTTACAAATTTGATAAATTTTGTGCCACATTCCAATCGTCTTTTTCCAAGTAAAATATATTTGTGAAATCGTGGCCGACCTTTCTAAGAACAGATATCCAAACCACGCCTTTTTAAAAAGCATAAAAAGACAAACTAATTTCCCCAACTATGTTAATTAGGTAAAATAAAAAAAATGTTCATACGTGGTTCAGAGATGGATAGCACCTTCATATTTCGATTTTTCTTGATTTATTCTTGATTTTCTATGGGGCATGGTTAATCAGTAAGTTGTTTATGGTATAAACACATTATTCGTTTGTGGATATAATTTCGCATCACTTATAATTATTTCGACTAACAGTAAAAATAACGATATTCAAGCCCCGAAAAATATAGCGCTGATCACCATTTTAAAAATATTATTCGACTTTGCGGGTAACTTAGTCTCCAATTTTCACCGGATGTAGACAACGGATCATTGGTATTGGAATCACCGAGTTTTACAGAGTTGTGTACGCGGTTTAGAATATTACGAGGCAAAGGGCAAAAGGCAAAGCCACTCACTCAAGGTTTTTCATAAACTTAGTTTAAGAAATGAAATAAATATTGGCCATTACAACACGACAACCTCCTATGTATCAATAGCTACTTGAATATAGCTTTCATCGCTTCGAACTCATAATAATATTTTATTCTTTTCAATTATGATCAAGTACGCATTGTTTATAAAGGCGAAAAAATATACGTAATGAGTAAGTAATTATTCAACCGTAAATATTGGTTATGAACAATTTTATCTTTAATGAAGGAAATGGATGCCACGAACAAACCTAATTACGTTTCTTGAATAACTTGTCAGAATAACTTTGAAAAGATATATATGTTCAAGTAAAACTCATAAATTAAAAAAAATCGCCACCGAAAATCTAAAAGCTATTTAGTCAATACATATTCTTCAAAAAGTTAAGCACCACATATCCACAGCCTATTCTCACAAAGTCAGTAATCTGTTTGCTGTTGTCTGAGTTTGAATTCATACTGTTAATAATTTTTGTCTTAAATTTTCAGTAATATTTTCCCGTGTTATACTATACAAATAGGATTTGCTCATTCCACTAAAATATTATCGGAACAACATCCAAAACTGATCTCCAATGTGCCACGTATGTTAAATAAAACTACAAAGTTGAGCTTCTGCTTTGCACGGTGACGCACAGTTTTTACCCCTGCCACAAATGCTCATAAATCCTGTTACAATATGGTTCAGGTAAAGTTTTTTTTTGACGCATAGGTTCAAAGGATATAATAATAATAAACAATGCTGCTTGAACTGTTAATTTGACCACCAGATAATAAGTAAGTAATATTAAAGTTTCCCGTGAGTTGATCGGATATTGACGAATTCATTGTACATTGTGCTACGTCAAATCTTCGATATATTAAGACGGGGAAACTTGGAAAACTACATTAAGTTTACACGTTATCGCACGTTTTCCAAGCTTGAATGGCCAGCTAGTCAAAAAATACCCTTTAGGGCCGAGAAATACCGAGTAAAATTGCTGCGCTAGTATAGGACACACAGTGAAATTGCTCAAAAATTTGTGACTTCGGCGCGATCAGACATTATAAATTCAGTTTGATCACAAACCGAAAAAATAGATAAATGATATGATAGGTAAGACGGAAAGATATTAACTAACGAAATTTTGTTTTGGTCTCTCATTTCCTAGATTTTTTTTTTTCCAATTACTGCATAAAAAGCTAAGTTTTCAGCATTTCAATTTAAAATTTACCCAGCAAGCGATATATTGAATGAACTAAGCTAAAATATTTTCAGTAAATTAAGGAAGTGTCTGAAAACAAAAAGGCCATCAAAATCCATTATTCTCTCTACATTGTTCCAACCATTGTCTGCATGTCACGACTAGACGTAATATCATTTGGCATTATGATATTTTGCTCATTATAAGTGTAATTTGTCGATACTCTGATAAGATCTAGTGTGAAATTTCAGGCTTTATGCGAGGCGAGACATTACGCAAGTTGTAATCTGGCGCAGTTAAAAATGTGAAATCGGTCCAAGCGAAAAACTACTAACATAAAATTGTCCGGACATATATTTTATTTGATGCTAAAACGATATTTTTTTGCTAAAAGTAAGTAGTATTGAAATTAATTTCAAAACGTTTTGCTTGTTGATTTATAACTCAAACTCGAAATGCCTTGCCCGATCTACTACTGTGTCCGTGACTGGCCAGATGGACCTTTATACTTGACCAGTACATCTCTCTCGTATCTCTATCTTCCGATACCTCCCTTTCTCTAATTTCATACAAAATATAATTGCATGGTATAGGTTAATTTCATTCCAATAAAAGGATCAGAGGCTAGAACTCAATACATCCCATGGGCATTGTGGAATGATGTACCGCAAGAAACCGCTATTAAATATCCAATATTAGTATTCCAAAATGAATCATGATGCGTATAATGTCTTGTATGTGTTAAATGGTAATAAAGAATGACTTATTAAGATTATAAACACGGTGCTGTGCCAAAGCGTTTAGTCATGAAACGTCAGATGATTACGAACGGCTGACCATGGATTATACACTTAACATTAGCAACCGTTTGTTGAGTTACCATGACAATTTAGACGATTTGGTGGCAATTTATATAAACACGGTCAAAAACTTGAATACATTCCAAATACTCAATATTTTAAGACGGCCTCGCTTGAGATAGAAATGAACCCCACTTACATAACACGTTAACGAGTTTAGAATTATTTACAAGAATTTCACTGTCATACTATTTCCGCATCTGAAACCTATCGATCAATACTGATTCCGCACCAAACGTACCTTTCAATTACGGCCGGTTCATAAACCATGGTTAGGTAAAAATAAAAACTTATTTTAACCTGTCTTTCATTATTATTTTTAGTATTTTATTCGCAATCCTCGGATATGGCTAACCTATAGGACATCTTATTCATTTAAAACGAACTCAACCAGACTGATAATATCAAGCGATGATATTCGAGTAATATAAATGCGTTTAAAAATGTTGATAACGTCTTGTTTATAAGTTTTCCCTGGAGGTTTGCGGCAAATTTAAACAAAATTAAGAAAACTTAGAAACAACTAATAACCACATGAATCACCAACGCACGCAGTGTGACATTCATCTCCTCATTTTTGTTACACTGGTTTATAAATATAAGGTATTTGCCTGTCTCTTTTTTTAAACACGTGAAGAAATTGTCAGAAAAAATGCATACCAAATACCATCAAAAAGAAACAAGCAGGCTGAGAAAAACGCTGTAAGATTGTGACTTTGATCTCGCTGAAAACCTCTACCTAACGCAATATTTTCAATAAAAAAGATGCCCGTTAAATTTACGCCAAAGCAATTAAGCCGTAAACGCTGATAACATCATATTGTGATTTTTTTTTTTCTATACAAGGGAACTAATGTCCAGTCGTGCATTAAGGATTTTGACTGGTCAAAATATCTGATTACGTAATAAAATTTTCCTAATTATTTGAATTCTGCCATAAAACCAATGACTCTAACTTAATACAAACGAATAACCACGCTTTCCTTAGTAAATGTATGAAATATAAAGTGAGGAAACACATTATTGAGTAGCATCTGAATCTTAATAAATATAGACTAACTCTTAATAAATAGACTAACTCACGGAACCATATATTAACATGCCATAAATACAGTTAAAAATGAAGCAACGCGAAAAGCAGGACACTGAAATAGTGAAACACTGTGGTATGCTTGGCCTACATATATGAATAAAGTGGTACTGGTATAGAAGCCCATATTTATAAAGAACTTAAGCAAAAACCATAGTTTAAAACGTCGATTTTGTTTTAATTTTAAACCGTTTTTAAACTCAAATTCACAAGCCTCTGAACACGGAAGTAAGCCCACACTAGTGTATGGGACAAATAAAAACAACAGGGGCAATCTATGACCGACGATATGTTTAAATGAAATGTCACTTGTAGTCCTCAAAACTATAATCCCCGTGATGATATATTTTCTGACTATATTTAATTTTCTCTGACTGAAAGATCGTGATAAGCCAGTTTAATTAAACAATAAACATTCAGATTTTTCAACAATATGTGCAGTCACACGCAGCTGGAGATCCATTTCACCCAAAGCGGTCTCGAGCATAAACTGAGACAAAAACGAAATTCATAATTAAATCAGACTTGGCAAAATATGTTTTTTTCAATAGAACGAACAATAAAATTAACCGATTCCTGGAATGTTGCCTAATGACAGATGCGTGCTGGAATACCTGCCAAATGTCGTCTACATAATATGGAATACCCAAGTGACCTCAAAGTGACTTTAGACAAACAGACGTACAATTGAGCCAACTCAAGCAATTCTATCCACAAGTAATTGTATTTGTAAACAATATCCTTTCCGGAAATATAATCTATCGAGTTCATCAGAATACATTAGATCTCGATAGGAACTCAGGTCGTAGTGTAGCAAATTATAAAGACTGACGCCCTATCGTAATTCTCCATACAAGGAAACACAGTCTTCCGTGCGTGCAAACGTGTTTGCCTACGCAATATTTTTGTCGGGGTATTACGCATGCTCACTCTCAAAAAAGAACCACGCTCTACCCCAAAATCACAAATTTCAAATACCTATTTGAAGGCCTGAATACAGGCCCAATCATTTTAAAAGAGAGAAACTAAACGAATAATATTTGATGGCACGAGATGATTTGTTTTACTCAACGTTCATATTTTTAAAATGATGAATGGAAATAATTGACTAACCGATTGCAAACTCTAATCTGAAACAGATCGAAAAATTGCTTGTAATTAGTAATCATTGTATCTTCATAATTGGGACGAAGATTTTTAGTATAAATACGAAACATGATACTGCATTATTTGTTATGAGAGTTGAGTTAATTCTGTCGTGTTACTTCCAAATCACTCCAAAATTCTATTCTTATTAAAACACATACATGAAAGTTATGTACCGTTCATCAAAATTATAAAACAACTGACATGCATCAAATTCACCTGTGTCCCGGTGAAATCCAAACTTTGATAACTACGTCACAGGCATATCGAAACTATGTTCAACATTCGAACTTTGAAATTATACAAGACATTTTCCAAATACCAAATCCAGAAATATCTTACGCCTAAATCTACACCGTCTATCGAAACCAACAAAAAAGTGCAATCTGTATGGCGTCGGAATAGAACTAACTAGTGCCAACTTCGCACTCAAGGAAACGTTCTACGATGTGAGACACATCTCATTCGCCATTATTGTTCGACACGATGATGTACATTTGTCTCTAATGCCGATTGAAATATGAAATTCTAAACCTTTACTACAACAGCCTGCCTTTTGAAGTCTGACAAAACGAATCAAACGAATTTAATCCCGCGCTACGCGGCATTATACTAAGCCTAATTGGCCAATTGACTCCAATTACATATTTCGACTTCTTCAAACGTAAGAAAGTCACCAAGCGTTTCAAAGTATATGCGTGAACGTCGAAATAGCGACAAATCAACGGCCGGCGTGATATAAAACCCCCGGCATTAAATTGGTCATCTCGTAGGATTAAGAGACTTAAAATCGCATAGGGACCTCGCCGAGAAGGTAATGAATGACATGTGAATATTTTCATCAACATTTTAGATTATATTATCAGCTACTCAATACGACGATAATAATAAATGCTTAGTTGCCAAGAACTAGACAATACCATAAATCTAAGATGGATGGCCTTTAACCCCTATAACATCCAACGGCCAATACGTTCTTTAAACAGTAATACGAGGATCACTGGGCTTTAAAGTTGCTAATCGTCAAGCAATGTTCTGTACATTATGATGTGCATAGCAGTCGCTGAATCGCCAATTGCCTGTGCGTAACCACAACGACAAATGTCAAAGAATAATTTTTGACGGATACGAGAATTCGCCAACTTTTATGTCGACACCAAAAATGGGTATACTATTTAACATATTCAAATTGACGTTGATAAGAGACGAATAATTTGAAAAGCGTGAAATTCCTGATACCATTGATACCATATAAAAATTAATTGTCGTATACCTCCACAATTTGGTAAGGCTTTGATCTAGTGACATTCCGATTTTTACATTCCATGTGATCCGATCGCGTGTTTAAATTATTTGTTTTAGATTGTATGGAAACGCTTGGTAGCAAAATTTTTGAAAGTGAGATACGGTTTAAAACCATTGCCGCGCTGCACTACGCAAAACCATTGCAAGTTCATAAATGCACCGCAAGTATTTTTTATAATACTAACTCACGGAAAGAGAATAATTTACTAGAATCATTGTGTTTTATAAAATCAATTCATGTACTTTTAACATCAAAATAAATTTAACTATAACTATGACGTGAACGTAACTACAATTGAGGAATGTGCAATTTAAAAATACATTTCAAGACACATTTAGGCTATACCTGTCCGTGTTACTTCTTCAGCAGATGCCCACCGCCTGAAGAGAAAAACGGTCAACGAGAAATTCATTATACAAAATACTTGTAGTGTGACGGTTTTAATTAAAGTCGACGCTTTCATGTTCGAATTCATCAGTTCTTTAAAAGGAATTGAAGCATTACGAAATTCAATCGGATGTATAATTCGATATACAAAATCTATTTTCAATTCAAAACTCAGACAATTGGATGCAGAATTGGTTATGAAACAACTCCATCTTATCAAGTGGCGACCGACGAAAGTTGAGCCAGGGCTCAAGGTTACTGAAAGACAAAAAGTTAATAACAACAAATGAATGCCGGCTATTAAGATAAAATAACGTCCTTGCAATTGGCACAGCAAGGCGCCACGCAGCTTTTGCGTGTAATCTATACTCCATTTCCCAAGGGCTTGCCATTTGTCGACCTGTTTAGTATCCATTACAAGTGGCACGTGCAACGTGAACCACCAACACAGCATGGTCGACATTGATTGACTATGAAAAGAAGCTCGGATTGGAGAAGGGTACCGTCCGGCCAATTGGTGGCAAATTAACACAACATACCCAGTAGTAGGTCAGTCCGGTCATATAGATTGGAACGTGCGTCATTTGTTAGGAGGACTTCAGTCGGATATAGGTATTACCACAGCAATTTGACACCAATACTCCAAAGAAGGTAATATATTAAGCCAATCGACGTGGCAAATTCGACGCACATTTCCCTTTCTACGTTGTAATTTGGTTGTTTCGCGCGATGTTGATCACATTTGCGTGGGAACAATCTTTACGGTGAGCTCACAGTCAAATGCGAAAATAAATTTGGATGATGGTGTTTCACAATACTTACTAATACCAGTGAATGTTAATATTTTCCAAATGTTTTTTACTAAATGCAGTGAAGTCAGTAGCCTAACAAAAACAGACCAATTTTCCATGGCGTTCAACTCATTTTCCATTCAAATATAATGTTAACCAGATGAGGATGAAAATTTCCCTTACGACCAGTAGAACATTGACTACATTGTTTTCATTCTTTCTGCACTGAGCAAGTATGGATGCTTTGCAATAATGTGATATTCAGTATTTTGGATTGAAATGTTGCGTAAATCTCATTTAATTGCTGATTGTTTTTATTTTAAGATTTCTAATTAATCAATTGGTATTGTTTCTGACATTGAGACGAAGCGACCTTTCATCACTTCATTACAGCAACTTTCTATTTCCGTAGAAACGTATTAAATTCATGCAACAAAAAATTAAATATCCCTTATTAATAGACAATAACTTGATGACGTCATCACAATTATCTTCAGAATGTCAGGTCAGTCACGATCAATCATCATTATAAAAAGCAGAAATCCGCAGAATCGTGAATAACTATTTGGCATTTGAAATATCTAAAATTTAATTGAAATCTCGGGGAAATATTTACGAGTTATTTTTGCGCGACGTCCTATCAATTGACCTATTGTCAACAAAAAAATTCAAATCCGGTAGAAAACATTACAAGATTTTTATCGGCGTATGTAAGATCAGTACCACAAGTTCATATCTTACTGGTCACTTTAGAATTCTAGAAAAAGCAAAAATCAATTTTGATGAATAGAAGAAATTTTCTGAGGGGAAATTCAAACACATCAATCATATTTTATATACCGTCTGTCAACTTTTTTAATCTAATCGTTTCATCGAAATAATTAAATCAATTAAATGGAAGTAATATAATATGTATTATTGTCTGTGACCAATATATAACTATTATGCTTCCAGAAAATTGTTGTTGATGAAAGGACAAAGAAAAGTATTTTTTTTTAACTAATGGATTGGGTATTTCCGAACTTCAACAGTGTAAGTGTCTCCTATGAGTCTCCTACTTTTGCCAAATTTCGTCAAGCACTCTCTATTGTCACGTCACAAGGGCCTCCTTATACGTGATCATGAATTTTGAAATATTGCACCCCTACGTCCCTTTTCGACATTGTCTTTCGGGGTGCTCTTTAAAAATGGCCAATTTCAAGATATTTTGACATGGAATATTATCGATCTCGGTTCCAACCATATTTCTACCATTTTTCGTACATATAGCGATGTTTAAATTTTTAAAATATTAGTGACTCATATTTGAAGGCAAAATGTAACAATTTTCCACAAGCGGACAAACGCCCACATGTCGATAGATGATACTCAATTAACCACTGTGAATTCATTATAATATATCAATCATTCAACCAACGTATGCTAAGAACCGCATTTTGATTAAATTTTTAATATTACTGCAATAACATGTGGAAAATGCGTTTACGTTCAATCGAGAATGCTCGTGTTTTAATACGCTGTGAGTCACCACATTATGATTCCTACCTTTGTTTTGCTAGAGACTATACGTCAAAACAGCGGACCTCCTGAAGTATGCGCACCAAGATGGCGCTCAACCTGAACTCAGATTGTGTACCAGGTTAGGGTTATGCGACATCTTGGTGCGCATACTTCAGGAGTACCAAAACGGCAATCTTAATAATACTAGACAGAATATGCCTTAGTGCACAATGAAGAGCGACTGGTAATGAGAAATGACCGAATCCTATACCAGCATGTCATCATGCCATTTTTTGGGTCAATTATTCCTGAAAGCAAAAATGTTTGCAATCAGTCTGAAAACCCACTTCTTCTCAATAACCCAAAAAGATAGGGTATTGGAAAATATCCCACTCAAAAACTGTTCAAATTAGAAGAGGTGCGCCAGAATACCTTCCACAAAATAAGTAGCTAATCGGGTTCTTGAACCTTACCAAAATAAAATACTAACCAATAGAATGTGGAAAGAGTACCATATTGACTTACAAATTAGGATTGAAAATCCCGGAAATTACAAAATAACAAATTCATTACAAATGGGAATACGAACTAAAACCGCGTAAACATGCCAAAATAAATGCGGAATTTCTCAAAGCATTATTATCAAATTACTGCACAGTACATATATGTATATATAGCGTTAGAAATTTGTCATCAGCTTTGAGTTTGCCTTGGGAAAAAATGATCCTGAGATTGAGTTAAAAAATAAATGCCTGTGAAATATGACAAATTTCCAAGATTAGGAAATGTCCATAAATCATCGCTGAGGTGTATAAAATTAACATGTGCTAATACACAACAAACTCATCAATAGAAAGCTATTGCTTGTAATATGGTGTAATTCTTTATGTCGTAAGACTGCATATGCCGGATATACTCGTACATCAGGCCATAGGCCTTTATAAAAATATTCGCATTTCGGTACTCCCGTAGTGTGTGATTAAGGTTGGACCATAATTTTATTCCGATTTCCCTTATTTTAGTTTTATCACGAGTTCGGCGACTGTCTTTGTTAGCCAAGTGAATATAACCCCTGCTCACAGGCTTCCGTCCTTATAAAACTTGATATAAAGTAGGCGAACAAAATCAACACAGGAGCGCCCGCATTTCAAAATCAACGGGTTCTGCACTTGCGAATGCGGGTCGTTTCGGCCGGAAAGTTGCCCTCACTTACAAAAATACTGCACTTTTTTCTTTATTTCACGTAACCCCATTAAATTAAGTGATTTCATTTAAATCTACTTACTGGTTCTGTGTCACCGGTCCATTGTAACTAATGTTCCACGCCAGAAAGGAAATGGTCGCATCCCGCTAAATATGACCTAACATAATAATAAAGGCGTCGCTAATTTTTTGAAACAACTATCGGGCTTTTGTATACAAGCAACAACGCACAGGAAACATACGAGTCACCAAGTTTATATTTTACAGAATCATCGGTTGTTATCAAAGAGAAACAATGACTTACCAATAATATTATGAA